AGGAATTAATTGATAAAGGCTTCATTCAACCTAGTACTTCATCTTAGGGAGCTCCAGTGTTATTTGTAAGAAAGAAAGATGGAACTTTGAGATTATGTATCGATTACAGGCAATTGAATCGGGTAACGATTAAAAACCGTTATCCATTTCCTCGTATCGATGATTTATTTGCTCAGCTTAAAGGTGCATGTGTGTTCTCTAAGATTGATTTGAGATCTGGCTATTATCAGTTGAAGATTAAAGATGATGATGTACCTAAGACGGCTTTTAGGACCCGTTATGGACATTATGAATTTTTGGTGATGCCATTTGGATTGACTAATACACCTGCAGCTTTCATGAGGCTAATGAATGAGGTATTCCAGCAATATCTTGATAGATTTGTCATTGTTTTTATCGATGATATTCTGGTATACTCTAAGTCGAAAGCATATCATATTCGACATCTTAACTTGGCCAAGTTTAGAAAATGTCAGTTTTGGTTTAATGAAGTGGCATTTTTAGGGCATGTAGTATCGGCACAAGGAATTTAAGTAGATCCTCAAAAGATTGCAGCAGTGGAAAATTGGGAACAACCACGAACCGTCACTGAGGTACGGAGTTTTCTTGGTCTAGCAGGTTATTATCGACGGTTTGTTCAAGATTTTTCTATGATTGCTTTGCCACTAACGAAATTAACCAGGAAGGATGTTAAGTTCAAGTAGGACGAGAATTGTGAGCAAAGTTTCCAGCAGCTGAAATATTGCCTCACCATGCTCTAGTATTGGTACTTCCTGATGATAACGGTAACTTTGAGATTTACAGTGATGCTTCTTTGAATGGTTTGGGATGTGTTTTAATGCAGCATAATAGAGTGATTGCCTATGCTTCTCGACAGTTGAAGATTCATGAAAGGAATTATCCTATTCACGATCTTGAGTTGGCAGCCATTGTCTTTGCTTTGAAGATTTGGAGGCATTATCTCTATGGTGAGAAGTGTAAGATCTTCATAGATCATAAGAGTCTTCAATATCTTTTCACTCAGCATGATCTTAATCTTCGTCAACGAAGGTGGATGGAGTTACTAAGTGATTATGACTGCATTATTGAGTATCATCCGGGTCGTGCAAATGTGGTAGCTGATGCACTGAGTAGGAAACCTCAAGGTCGACTCAATGCTTTGTATGCTTGTCGTGTTCCTCTTCTTGCAGATTTGAGAGCTACTTGAGTAAAGTTGGAGTTAGAAGAACAAAGAGAAGCTTTTCTTGCTAGTTTCCAAGTCAGGCCAGTTTTGGTTGATCGTGTACTTGATGGTTGATGAAGAAATTCAAGAAATGATTCAATTGAGAAGTGAAGGGAAAAAGAAAGACCTCAGGATTCGAGAATCAGATGGCATGCTTATGTAGGAGAACAGAATGTATGTGCCGAATAATGAGGAACTAAAGAAAGAAATTTTGGATGAAGCACATTGTTCTGCTTATGCAATGCATCTAGGAGGAACTAAGATGTACCATACCATTCGACCATTTATTATTGGCCAGGTATGAAAAGGGAAATTGCAAAATATGTAAGAAGGTGTATTGTTTGCCAGCAAGTCAAAGCAGAAAGAAAGAAGCCTTTTGGGCAGATACAACCACTTCCCGTTCCTCAGTGGAAATGGGAAAATATAACTATGGATTTTGTGTATAAGCTTCCTCGTACATGAAATGGATTTGATGGTGTTTGGGTGATTGTAGATCGGCTTACAAAGTCAGCACACTTCATTTCCGTGAGGGAAAAGTATCCCCTGAATAAATTGGCTAAGTTGTTCATTACGAAGATTGTGAAGTATCATGGAGTTCCAGTGAAAATTATCTCTGATCGAGATCCAAGATTTACTTCTAAGTTTTGGGTAGCTTTTCAGGAAGCTCTTAGTACGAAACTACTTTACAGCACGGCTTATCATCCTCAAACGGATGGACAATCAGAGATGACATATTATTGAACAATGCATATTTCCCTAAGTTGTGAAATGACATATTATTGTCACAACCCGTCCTGTGATTCTTTTTATCGAGGTTGTGAAATGACGAAATTATCCTTGACGGGTGCTAAGGTAGGTGTGTGACATATTATTGAACAATGCATATTTCCCTAAGTTTTGGAAATTTTGAATTTTGATTAAAGGTTGTATGTGTTTTGTGTGGTTAGGGACTTAAGAAAAATTAATGGTGATTGTTTTGGGATGGACCACACACACGGGACACTTTCTCCTTCCCCGTGCCCTCTCTCTCTCTCTCCTTCTTCTCTGTCACTGTTATCTCTCCTCCTTCAAAATTGTATGTACCACACCCAAGGACCATCAAAACTTCATGGATCGAAGTGGAGATTAGCACCATTGTGTTCGTGAGTGCCCTACGAACTCAAAGGTACCATTTTCAGGTAAGAAACCCTTCGTTTTCACATTGAAAACTCAAGGTCCAAATTGAGTACTATTCAAGAACTTTGTAATGGTTGGTTTTTAGGACAATCCAAGCTCATAGTAAGCTCTAGGAAGTTCCCACGAATCTCGGGGACGTTCGTTTGGAAGTTTTGGACATCGGGACACCCTAGTTCGAAGGTGGCCGGTTTTGGTGAAGTTTCCTGACGTGATTTTCGAAGGTTTTGAGGTTCCAAAGCGGTATAGCCTTCTTCCCCTCGTGATTTAGGACATTTTGGTGAAAATTTCATGGAAAATGGTTGAGAATCGAGCGAGAAAATGGCGATTGCAGGTTTACCCAGTTTCCGGCGCCGACGAGTTTTTCCGGCGACTGGAGGTAGGGGATGATGCGTGTGGGGGGCGCGTGGACCCGTGCCTGTCCCGGCGCGTGAGGGCTCGTGACAAGCCCAAAAATTATTTTAAAAATACCTCGACGACCATGACGTCGAGTAGGTCACTGTGGTATATTCATATACCCAAATTGAGCATCGTATGAGAAGTTATTACGAATTGTCGGTTATGTGCTTTAATTAATGTTTTTATAGTTGTTTCGCATATAGGTGATACCTATTCCGAGGACGAGTGCATCCAGGGACGTCACGGGGGTTACGACCCTTCGACTTATCAGTGAGTGGGCAGTTATTTTCTGTTATTACCTATATACTACTGAATTTCCCAGAAATTGAATTTAAATAAAAGTATGTTTTTCAAATGCCATGCCTGCATATTATGAATTATATGAATTAGTAATTGATGCATATATATGTGAAATGGTGCTGTGGACGCACAGGTGAGTATCAGGTGAGTTTAGATTGTTCATATGATTTATTGTAATGTGAATTGTGTTGAGAGCTTCTAACCTGCACCCTTGGTGTTAGTGCTTATAATATTCACCGCACCGCACACTCACCTTGGATCCAAGTAGGTGCATGTCGTACAGACCATGAGAGGGTTCTGACATACTAGTCGTACAGATCACTAGAGGTGGTTCTGACTAGTAGGTGACCTTAGATTATGTGCACAGATGATTGATGAGAGAAGCACTAGAGCATATTATTACACCATTCTTGTCGTACAGACTACTTCAGGTAGTTCCGACTTATGTGCAGAGTAGTGCCGTACAGGTCACCGTGGTGACTCCAGTTGGTTTAGATATTGAGCTATGGAATTAACCGTACAGGACCAACTGCAGGGTTTCCGGTTGATTCATTATGTCATCTGATATATTGATGCATTCTTAATCTGTTATTGATATTTATGGCATGGCATATTTTCTGGGTTTTGATAAAGAATTGTGATTTGAGATATATGAAGATTATATGCATATTATGTTATTTTCTGGGAAAGTATATAGGTTTTACAGCGAGGGGTTAGAAATGTTTTAAATGAAATGTTTTTGAAAAACTTTGGTTTTACTGACCCACTCAATTTTGTTTTGCGCCCCTCCAGGTTCTAGTTAGCAGCGTTGGTGGCCCACGAGGATTCCCATAGCGTACTAACAGACTACATAAATGTAGGACTCATCTGCGGGTGTTGTAATTTAGTTATGGTCCTACTTGACTGCACCTAGTACTTATGCTCTGAATTTGTGTGTTTCACACTTTAACTTACTCTAGCACGTTACTTGGTTATTATTGCTAGTATTTGGTTTTTGTTTATTCGTATTTCTCTTATCTATTGCTTCCGCGTCGCACTTTTGGTTACGTCACGCCCACGTGGCAGCCAGCACGCCTTGATTCTAGGATCGGGGTGTGTCAGTTTTCTTTTTGTGTTTTTTTTTTCGAAATTGGAGGATGTTATGATCGCTCTTGGGTAAGGCTTCGGAAAAAAAAAAAAAAAAAAAAAAAAAAAAAAAAAACTGTAAAATTTTTGTGTGAATTTACTTACTATCCATGATTTTGTTTTGTGGTAGAAGATAAAATTACCTTTTTATCCTCTTTTGGTTGATAAAGAGGGTTTTATTAATGTAGTTTAGATGAAAACTGAAGAAGAAAAAAATACTTGTTTTATTTCAAACTTTAGCTCACAGTTTAAGTTTTCAGATTTTATTTTGTGAAAAAACTAAAATAATTATCAAACAATTAAAAACTGAATAGATTACGAATATTTTTTATTTTCATTTTTCTTTAAATGAGAAGGAAAGAGGGAGAGAGAAAAAACATGGGAGTGGGGATTGGAGAGGTTTTTGTTTTTCATTTTTTATTTTTAAATATTAGATTTATGCTAAAATTACATGTGGATGATGCTTCAATAAAAAACAACAAAATTTAATTTTATGAAATTATATTATTGCTTATCATTTTTTCTGTAATAAAAAACTAAATAATATTTTCACTCTCTTTTAAATAACAAAGATGATTCTATTAATAAGTTGTTTAATTGTTTTCTGCTCTCAAATTTGTAGTACATGCAATAAAGGCTGGTCGGTTGGTGTGTAAATTAACTTGTCTTGAAAAGGAGGCCCACTTCCGTTGGCCAACCTAGCTAATAACTACATTCTCAAGATGTCAACTGTCATTTGTTCATCAGTCTTTGTCAAGCAAAATAAAAAACAACGCCCCCCCTCTCCTCTCCTCTCCTCTCTCATACATTATACATTTGCATCCATTCAAGGCTAGGATGAATTACTTCAATATTTGATTGATGCCAAACTCCAGTCAATCACTTTAAACTTTGAAGTTTCACTCGCTCACTCCATCCCTTTCAATCCAATCCAATGCTTTGCCTCCTTATTTCTTGTGCCTCTTTCATCCTCCTTTCTAAGTCCTTCACTCACCACAAACCAATATTACAAACATGGGAGGATAGCCTCAGATTAATCTCACTCAAGTTTTTGGGTGGATTTTTAAGTTTTCTCCCCAAAAGCAGGATTTCACTCCAACCCATCACCTCCAAATTCAAAAAGATGGTGACTTTTGGCTCAAATGTGGAGGTGGAGAGAGAAACTAGTCTCTCTCTCCTGGATTTGCCTGACTTGGCCTTGGACTGCATTCTTGAGAGGCTTCCCCCATCTGGGTTGTGCTCCATGGCAGCAGTTTGTGCTTCTTTGAGGGAGAGCTGCACAAGTGATCACTTGTGGGGGAACCATATGAACCACAAATGGGGTCGACTTATAGGGCCTGCTGCTTACAGAGAGTGGCAGTTGCATGGGGCCTCAAGAAACAGAATCAGAAATTACTCCGTTCGGACCGAGAAAAAAGGTCTAATGGAGTCCCTTGAGGCTAGTATTTTGCATTCCTCGTGGATTACTTGGCAAAAATTAACTCCAGTATGTAAAGTGAAGGCTAGTACGAGTTGTTTATCGGTCGATTCGATCATGTCTCTGTATCTCTCTCTTGAAACTGGCAAGTTTTGGTTCCCGGCTCAGGTCTATAACCGCGAGGTATTGCCGCAAACTTGATATTATCAGTAGTATCTATCTCTGCTAATATGTAGTTTGCACAATTTTTTTTGTTTGTTTGTTATTTTCTTGCTTGACAATTCATGAACACCTTATACATATGTGTGTGTGTCTTTTCCTGCAGAACGGTAATGTAGGGTTTATGCTGTCTTGTTATGATGCACGAGTGCGCTATGATTCGACGACAAACACATTTCAAGCAAGGTGGAGTATCGGTCTGCTTTATATGTGTTTTGACTAGAGAAGTACATATATTAATGATTAAGGTTCTTAACATAACATATGTTAAATCTAAATGCTATTTCAAAATTTTAACTTGCAATTCTATTCGTATAAGTTCCAATCGGCCATTGGATTAAAGTTCGATTCTGAAAAGGCTTATTTCTGAATGGTTCTCTCTTGAATTCAAAATTTACATTGCAGGTATTCACCTTACGGGCGGAGGGCAACAGAGGAAAATATACCATGGGATAGACTAAGAGCGGCTCCAGTTGATACTCCTCCTCACAAACTTCATGTCTCCGATTGTTTACATGACTTAAAACCCGGTGATTATATTGAGATCCAGTGGAGAAGAAACAAAGAATTTCCCTACGGTTTGTTTCTAAATCCCGCCTTAAAATGTCTCTCAATTATCCCTTAATTTTGGAATTTAGCAATAATTTGGATTCTTATGTGCTTTAGGTTGGTGGTATGGTGTCATTGGTCACTTAGAGTTTTGCGATGGGAATGAGAATGGCTGCCGTTGTCACTGCAATGGTGAGAAAGCATTTCGGTTTCTGCAATTCTGCTGAGTTTTCTTTGTTTTGTTTTCATTAGTGGAAGAAACATACTTCGTTCTCCTTTTTGTGTTTGGGAATTGTTATTAGCACTCCAAAAATCTCATTTGGCACTCCAAACTCTCTATAATTAGAAAGAAAAATACACTTGTGAGGAGTGTAGAATGAGATTTTTGGAGTGCTAATAACAGTTCCCTTTTGTTTTTGTTTTTTTGGTTACAAAATACAAACTTCCTTCCTATGTCAATCGATAAACATCACGCACGAGATGCCATATTAAAGTCTCCATATAGAAATCTATGGAGTTTATGATATCTCTTTCCCCGAATAGTTTGGCATTCAAGCATCTTCAGCATGGAAATCTAAGCCTTACCTTAACTTGGACACTTGAAAAGGGTTCTTTTTTACTCCAAACGAAATCAAACTAGTATGTGAACCATATAGCTTGTCCATACGGAATCACTTGTTATTATTGTCCATTGACTTGTGATATGATGCATTGGTCTGCTGCATTCATAATGCAGTGCCGTATGCCTTCTTAGTGACTGACATACGTTTCTTATTGGTTCTATTTTTGTTTCCATTTTTCTGGAAGTACGATGGCATGTTCATGCCTATGAATTAGAGAACTTAGATGGCAGAAAACTCAAAATCTAGACATAAAGATGACTTGACTCTGAAACTTCCTTTTCTGTTTCTTACATTTGAGGAATATGTGCCAGCTACGGTTGTTTGTCATGACCAAATCTGACGTCTTATCTATGTTCTGGTATTGAATATGTTTTTTTCCCTTCTCAACAGAATCCTTTGTTCTTAGCGGATAGCGCTTTTCCCATTCCTTGCCTTTTAATCATTGTTTTATAAACGAAAGAACTGTTACTTGACTAACAAGGAAAAGGGAAACCTATGTGCTAGTCTTGCTGAATTCATTTTTCTCATATCAACACAGCACCAAGTGCTTGATATTTGTTACATATGTAAACTATCTGTTTCATGCATTCTGTTGTTTCTTCTAATCACTATTGACCCTTAGGCTATCTGAAGGAAGCCGTTTGCTCAAAACCGAGTGTAGTGGCATTCTAGGATTCATATAGCCGACCCCACTTAGTGGGATAATGCTTTGTTGTTGTTGTTTGTTTGTAGGATTCTAGCTAGGACTATTTTCTTGACTACCACTACTGTATATAAGTATCTGACAAACAAGTACTCTTTTATTACAGATATAGTAAAACTGGAGTTCAGTCAGTACACTCCTGGTTCCCGATGGAGAGAAATGACGATAAACAGGAAGGACCATCGCGAAGAAGGCAATGAAGCAGACGGCTTCTATGCAGGAATCCGAAAGATTTACAATGAGGAGGAAATTGCAAGGTGGAAGCGCTTATGGCCGACCCAAGTTCTGGGATAAACCTTCCACTCTCAATCCTAACCACACTGTAAATATCAAGCCCCCCCCCCCCCCCTTCCCCCTCTCTTTTTTTGCTGTTGACCCGTGCCTAATACGATCCGGGATTATCCGGATGCATATATATACATCAGTATTCTCAAAGCACAAGGTCCAGTTTACTCCATCGGTGAGAGGACATGATATAGGCCTGTTTGAGCCACGGATGAATTCTAAATGCTTGGCATCGTGATCCGTAATTTTGACAAAGAAGGTCCAAGCTTTTTCAGTGAAGTTGCATGATTGGTCCGAGATACCTAGTCAGGCTCAAAACTTTAAATTAAAATATCCAATCCAAGGTCCATTACCAATCCAAAGAGATCAAGGTCTGTGGTCCACAAACGAAGAGTGTTGTTGGCCAAGAGAAAAAAACTCACAAGTGAAAACGTGAGGATAGAGAAGATCAAGGCTCGGCCGAAAAGAGTAACTGATGTTTAATTCGAGGCAATCAAGGTCCATGTTCACCAAAGATTTTGGTCCCCGGTCTTTTGAGAGAAGTGCATGGAAGATCATCACATCCAGAAATTCCGATAGGCAAGAATCAAAGACAATCAACTCAAAAATGCATGAAGATTCCAAATGAGCTTATTTTGCAGACATCGTATTACAAGATTAAGGGGGCCGCGAAAAGAAGATTTGCAAATTCGGAAAACTTACGAGCCAAATAATGGCTGATCCGGGGCCAATGTTGCCCTATAATGTGAAATTTAAAGAAAATAAGAGCACATCTCAATTGAAACGCAAAAGCGCAATTCATCTTGTTATTCTTGAACGTTTGTGATTCTACAGACTGTGTTTAGTTTATGGAATCACAAAAGATATTCGGAGTTTCTTCGGCAGATGGAATTTTTGCATTTTTTTTTTCTTTGAGAAATTCTGGTTTTCTTCGGCAAATGTATGTTTTGAAGTCGGGAATTGAAGTTCAAATGGGAGCTGAAGTTGAATTTTTAGGTTTTGTGAAATGGGATTTTGTGTTTGTGAAAAATAGGACGATTGGTGATTGTATTAATGGATTGGATTTGGGGGTAACGGGATTGGGTTAGGTTCCGTTAGGAGCAAGTTTGGAAAAAATATTTATTGTGTATTGGGCTTTTAATTCAGCCTGGGACTTTTATGTTTATAAGGCATGTTATATGAATAATTTTGTCCTTATAATTAAATTTAAGCCCTTGTGGTTAAATAATACTTTTAAGACGGTTTTTGTTAAAATAAAGTTTGTCCAAACCCTTTTGGTCTAAAAAAATAAGGGGAAACATACACCCACTTAGGAAAAAGGGTGGAAGAAAAGTCATTCTTTTTCTTTTCTTTTTGGCTTAATTTTATCTAGGTTCTTTGGATCTTGATTTAATTTCATTTTGCTCTATGTAACTCAAAAGTCACCACTTTACTTTTTAAAAATCAAAGTTTGCTCCACTTTGCACCCTAGAACTCGATTTTAATCTCATTTTGCCCCTGAAACTTGAAAGTCGTCTCTATAAAATTCAAAATTCCCTCCACATTGCCTTAGATTTGTTAATTTTGTATGTGGGTTTGATTTGGTGCAACAAGATAATCGATTTTTTTTTCATCTCTTCACTTTCTTTTAAACTTAATATCCTTTGATTGTTGAATGGTTAATGTATAGTAGAGATTTATAATATGTTGGAGTCCTATTTGATTAGGAATGTGATTGTGTAAATCCTAGTGTATCTAGGGATATCTTGGAATATTCTCTAGGGTTAGATATTATCCTATTAGAGTTGTAATCCTATTAGAGTAAGAATTTAACCTTCCTTACTACTATAAATAAAGGCACAATGTGGTGATACAAAATACACTTCACAATTACACATCTCTCTCTTTGTCTCTACTATTGCCCACCCCCTCTCTCTCTCTGTCCTTTTTATAATTCAGTAAATTAAGCCTACAACACGTTATCAACACACTCTTGACGCTGCGCTAAAAAGAGTTTGTTCTTCAATCAGGGAAGTATTATATTTTAATCATTCTTTTTATGATTAATTTATTCTTTTATTGAATTGATCTACATGCTATTGATTCAATTTAATTTTTTCTTTGTTGAACATGATACAACGCATTAGAGATGCAATTCCAGATTTCTGAGAAGGATCTTCTACAAATTCAAAGGCTTAGTTGTTTTCTGCCAATCAGGTTCTTTTAAAATAAATTAATATATTTGAAACAACCATGAAGCATGAAAACGTTCCCCATGATGCATGAACCCCCTACATTTATATTTTCCTTGATATATATATATATATACACACACACATTTCATGAATTACGCAATTATGCTTCGTGAAATTTGTGAGTCAAAGCATCAAAATTAGTTTAGAAGCAAGTAGGGTTCTTAACCCTAGAATTCGAAAAAAGAAGAAGGGAAATCTGGGATTTTTTTCATGGTTGAGCCACGGCACCACGCCGTGCCGTCGAGTCGAGTTGTGATGCTAAATATATAAGCACACAAATTAAACCCTTTTTTTATCAATTGTAGTAAGGAATGTAAGTATGGATCGTTCTAGGCCGGGGATTAGGAGGGATTGCCAAATCACTTGAAAACTAACTCAAAACGTAAAAACAAAGTTTAAAACACTAAACTAGACTCAAAGAATGCAAAACTAAACTCTAAAACACTAAAACAAACCAAAAGACTCAAAACTGCCTTAAAAACACTTTCTGGGCAGTTTTGAACACAAAACACATTTTGGACGAAAATAGGTTATAACTTGACTCACCTTCATCTCGTTGAATTCCACTTATCCTTTTTCGTAGAAGGATGACTCGAGAAGTTGGGAAAAACTTCTCCAAGAAAGCCCGTTTCATGCTCTCCCAAGATGTGACCATTCTGGGAGCCAATTCATACAACCAATCTTTTGCCTTTTCCAAGAGAGAAAAGAGAAAGGCCTTCATCTTCAATATGCTCCCATCGACGTTGATTGGAGTCATGCTTGAACACACCACCTCGAATTCTTTCAAGTGCTTGTTAGGATCCTCCATGGACAACCCATGGTACTTCGGAATGTGGTGTAGCAAACTTGACTTCAACTCGAATTCCTCGGTTTGTCCTTGGGCAGTCGCGGGATATTGGATACATAGGGGTGCGGCATTGTCCAATCCCGAAGCCGAAAGCTCCTTGATTGTATGATTGTCTTGTGCCATGTCTTGCTCTACTTCACCCGTTCTTGCCGTGGGTTGCTCTTCTTCTTCCTCAACTTCAATTTCTGAATTTGAACTTAATTCACTAGGTGCTGGATTCTTCCTCTTTCGTCTCAACTCTCGCTCAAAATCGTCGTCAAAGTCTAAGATGTGTTCACGAATCGAATGAGAACTTCGAGTCATAAACTAGTACCTAAACCAAGAAACAAAACAAGGTCAGAATCTGGAACAAATTAAAATAAACTGAAATAAAACAATCCAAGGGATTAGCAACACCCCGGCAACGGCGCCAAAAATTTGATGTGAAATATATAAGCACACAAATTAAACCCTCTTTTTATCAATTGTAGTAAGGAATGTAAGTAGGGATCGTTCTAGGCCAGAGATTATGAGGGATTGCCAAATCACTTGAAAACTGACTCAAAATGTAAAAACAAAGTTTAAAACACTAAACTAGACTCAAAGAATGCAAAACTAAACTCTAAAACACTAAAACAAACCAAAAGACTCAAAACAGCCCAGAAACACTCAAAACTGCCTTAAAAACACTTTCTGGGCAGTTTTGAACACAAAACACAATTTGGACGAAAATAGGTTATAACTTGACTCAAGACACTTAAAACACACAAACCAAATTGATTTCTAACTAATCTAACACTTCAAAATAAATGGGGATTGAGTTTTGACGAAAATTGAAGACAAAAACAAAACTTTGTAAATTGAACAGATTCTAAAACGAATTTGATAAAAGTGAATGGATGGAAAGCTAGCTAAGGGGTTCTTCTCCACACATGTCACACTTGCATACAAAACGATTTCCAATTGCTTCTCAATAAACCATGAATTCCCAACGCCCCAGATTAACCGTGAATTGCACTAATTAAACCTCAGATTTTTCTAAAGTTATCGAATTGGATGAATTGCATACGACAACCCAAAGCATTCCTCACAAGTTCCCTGCATGAATTGCATAACAAAGATACAAGCAAAGATCATTAAGTTCTATGAAAACCATAAGCATTGGCAAGGCACTTGTTACTATGAATTGCATGAAACTTATGCCAAGAATTTACTTAACACGATTGTGATCAACAACCTTTACTACTTACGAATATAAGTTCATAACGATTAGGTGAAATTCCCTTATATCCTAGCATCAAACTTATACATGAAAATTAAGCGTGCACTCTCAACCAACACACACAAATCAGTTTTAATTCATATAGATAAGTAAATTGAATTCACAACTTATGAAACGCAATTAGAAGTAATCAAATCACATAGCAAGCATAAACATGGTTTCGAATCCCCCCTAGCCAAGGGGGGCTTTAGTTCCTCATACTCGCAAAGCAAAGATACATAAATTTAGAAATTAAAAACCAAAGAAAGAAAACACCTAGATGATCCAACTTGGACAACAAGTGCATGCACGAAATTCTTCTTCCTCCTTGCTGCGACACAAAGATTAGGTCAGGTTCTTAGGGTTATGAATGGTGTAGAATGGATGGGGGATGGTATGGTATGGTTTAGGAGGGATATAGGGTGCGGCAAAGGGTGTTTAAGGTCAGGAATTATGGAAGATGGTGGTAGAGGGCTGCGGCAGAAAGGGTGAATGACTTTCTGGCGTGTAGAATGATTGTGAGAGGTGGTGTGTGCGGCAAAGGGTCAAACAATTATATATATAGGCACCTAAAACCCTAGCAAATCAGATTAGGGCTTCTAGAAAGCCAAATCCATCAGGAAATAGGTTTAAAAAATCAGAATTTTCAAGGGAAAAGGCCTAAAGGTGCGGCAGATAAGGGATAGGGAGGATAAGGCTTCTAGAATGCCTTGCAAGGCAAGGAACAAGGGGTTTCTAGAAGGCTAGGTATGGCATGAATTAAGGGGATAAGGATAGGGCTTCTAGAAGCCCAAAACCAAAAGGAAACAGGCCCTAACCCACGGCAAGGATAAGGAAATGCTCTCCAACCTCTCTTTGTGTCTTCTAACGCTTATGAACCTTCTAATTTTGCTGAAACTTAAGGCCATTTAGGTTTAGGAAAGATCAACCGAAAATAGCAACTTCTAGGCTTAACTTTCCTACTTCAATTAGGAAACCTTGTTTGAGTAGGAATCTTCATTCTTCTAGGAATCCATCTTCAACTAGGAATCCCTCGTTGATTAGGAATCCTTCTTCAATTAGGACTCCTTCTTGGACTAGGAATCCTTCTTGGACTAGGAATCTTCAAATCTTCAAATCTTCAATTTCATCCAAAACTTTTGTTCCAAGCATGTGCTATTCACCTTTAAACTCTCTTTTGCTCCAAAAAGCTCCAATTTGCATCATTTTGTATAATATGCCCTTAAAACCTGAAAACACATAAAACTAGCTTAAAAGACTACTTAAACTAAGAAAACATAACGAAAATGCATAAGAACTAGCTAACTAAGGCGCATAAATATGCTCCTATCAAGTTGGCTGGCCTGCAGCCACGCCGCAACTAGGACAACTTCGTTTCGACGCCCTGCATAACACCAGGCCTCGACCTAGGTTGGTCTCCAAACAGGCTTGAAGCCTTAAGTCCACCAACAGGCCTTCAAAACTTTGCTGGGCTCTGCCTTGTCTCGGCCCACCACGCCTGCAGCAAGCTTAGGCTTGCTAGGCTTTGCCCACATGGACCCCGCCCTCCTATAGCAAGCTTTACTTATTGAGCTCGCCATCTGTCTCAGGCCGTGATCACCAAAGCGAGCCCACATGGCTAGGCTCACCTAAAACTGGCCCAAGCGAAGCCAGCCTTTGGCTGGGCTTGTGCAC